CAGGTCCCATTGCTTTTCCTCTTCCCTAGCACTTGATATGGTCAATTTAAAATATGTATTTTAGCCATTCAATAGAGGTATATGGCCACATCTACGCTAATAAAAGACAAACATGCAAATTGACCATACCTTTGCTACACCTTAAGCCACCAGCCAATCAAAGTGGCCATATGCAAATTATCCAAACCAAGATGGCGGCCGGCAGCCACAGAGCTGGAGCAAGAAGGAGGCTTGGTTGCCCCAATGATGGAGGACTCCTTCATTTCAGAGGCAGGCAGCTGTCACTACTGGTAGTCAGAGGCCTGGGGTCAAGAGCATCCACATGGAAACCCACCCCTCCTGGGCACTGACTGGACTGTCCACCCTGCATGCTCCCTCGCACAGCCCCGCCCCGCCCAGCGCTGCTTTGGGAGGCGCTACGAGGTCACAGGCAGCTCTGCCACATCGGAATGAGGGTCGCCTGCGTGACCCTTTTCGGGAAAGCCAGCGAACGACACTGCGCAGCAACGCAGCCCGTTTCATCGCGGCCTCGCGTCTAGTCAGGTCACTACTGCTCGCCCAGCCTACGATGTAAATGGAACCAAGCCTTGCTTTTCCTCCCCATCTCCCACCTCGCGATGGCCAAACTCTTCGGTTACCCTTACAGTCAACTTCTAACGTTAGCAGCTCCCTCCACACCCCCAGGCTGTGGCGCAGGCGGGAGTCCAGGCCTGGGGAAGGGGGAGGGACTGGCCGGCGGAGGGAGAGCACAGAGCCGCTCTGTGTCCTCGGCTATTTTAAACCGCAGAACAGGGGCCTACTGAGCGGCAGGGAAAACAGGCCGCGAACCCCGCCTGGGAGCACGTGGCCAGCACTGGAATGCCAAGCCCAGGGCGTCTCCCAGAGGTCCAGCTGTCCCGTGGGGGGCTCCTCCAAGTGACCTGCCCTCCAGGCTGCGATGACCCCAGGGCCGTGGGCAGTGAGTCCTTGGGGGCACAGGGGCGGGTGGCCCTGGTGGTGAATGGACCACACGCCTGGTTGGTGATGGCGAGGGAGGGCGGGAAGCGAGGGGTCCGCGAATCAGGCTTAGAGCTCACAGACCGAGCCCGACAACGCCGCTCGCCTCTCCCCGCAGGATCACCGCCTCTATCCAGGCCACACCCGAGAGCTCAGTTCCCGTGTTTCAGGCAAAAACACAACCTTCTTTTACAAAACAAGTTCTTCTTTCCTTCGGGTTCCGTTTTCTTATGACAGTCACACAGGAAGTGTCCTCACGTGACACAGTGCGCGCAGGTGCTACCTGTCGGCGCCAGGGGCTTACAGCGGAGGGTGAGCCCCGCCCCGTCCAGGAGGCGTGCTGAGATCCAGGCCCCACATCCGCCCACCACGGCACCATGAAAACACCCTTCCCCACAGGTCTGCCCACGAGTCATCACGCAAGAACAGGGTTATGGGGCATAGTTTACAAACCAGACTGGATTTTATGAAAAGCACACTGACACGTGCAGCCCTAAACCGGCCCCCGAGCAGCCAGAGGTGAAATGGGAACAAGAGCTGTTTGATGGGCGCTGCCCGTTTGCCGGGCTCCGAGGGGCACTCTCCAAGCCTCACTGAGCCGGCCATTCCAGCCGGAAAGAAAGGGGACGCGGTACCTGCCGTGACTTTAATGTCATGTGACAACCCCACAGTCACTCTCCAACTCCCCTCCAAGGCCAACGCACACGGGGCCCCATGACAGGGAGGAAACACACAGAACCCCGAGTGAGCGCGAGAACCCCGGCAGGTGGGGTGGGGAGAGCCTCCACGCTCCGGCCCTGGGCCCAGGAGCCAACCGCAGCCTCTAGTGGTGCGGCGAGGGCAGGACAGCTCAGGGGACAAGCGTGTCCTTGGCACGGCTTCCCTGCCCCACTGCATCTACCAAAGTCTGGGAGTGACTCTCCTTTCATGCAGAAGAGTTGCAAACCAGCAAGAAAAAGACCACTTTCATGCACGTTCCTGAAGTTTCCTGGCCCGGCCGAAGGCCAGTGACCTTGGAAATGGGCAAATGGAAACGGAGACGATGGAAAAGCAGCATGTTCCCTCCCCCACAACCCACGTCCCACCCGCACTCAGGCCGTCGCTTTGAGAAGCCGCCAGGGAAACGGCGTCCTTAGCCACCCGCCCGGGCTGGTCTGGGGACAGAAGCTTCCCCTCCGCTACCCGCCTCTGCGGGACACCGGGCGGCTGCAGTTCAGCTGCAGTCAGGCTCCTGGGCAGGCCCCACCGCGGCCTGGACACGTCGCACGCGCACTGACGGCAGCCAGCCTGCAGCCGCGACGGCTTGGACCCCACGCCCGCGGCTCACGTTTCCCCGGACGCCTCCCGGCCTGAGCGACAGAACAGACCGAGCGTGACCGCAGCACCAAGCCCGACCCCACGGTCATGTCGACCAGACTCAGGTCTGAGAGCTTCAGGCACTTTTATAGAAAAAGTGTCAAAACGCAAGGATCAGCCCCACGGTGACCCTAACCTTCCTCCTTACGCTTACCCTGCCGCCAGCCAGCTTTCTCTTGAAAATGCATCTTTACCGTTGAACGTCTTGTAGATGTCCCCCTCTGACCCACTGACCCCCCCAGACCAGCCTCCTTAAAAGCAGTTTAAGCTGCCAACCTGACACACGGGTCTCTGAGGCCCCTCCCGCCGGGCCAAGCTGGACTCAGGGTGTGGTCCTTATCGATGAAACGCCACTGGCCCAAAGCGACACCAAGTCACCCCTGGTCACCACTAGTCATGCCACGGAGACCCCAGGGCGGAGGGTGCCCTCCGGCGAGGCTCCGCGTCCTCCCCCTCATCCCAAACAGCCCTTTCGGGGAGAGAGGGACCCTGCGCTGTGCTCTGGGGAGTCTCGCCAACCAAGAGAAAGGAGAGGAACAGGCGGGTGAGGGGAGACCCACCTGTGTCCCCGGATGTCGGACTGGTCGCACACTCCTCCCAGCGCGATCCGGTGGAACTCGCGGCCCAGCGTCTTGGCCACGGACCTCCCCACACTCGTCTTGCCGACCCCGGGGGGGCCCACGAAGCACAGGATGGGGCCCTTCAGGTTGTTCTTGAGCTGCCGCACGGCCAGGTACTCCAGCACCCGCTTCTTCAGCTTCTCCATGGCGTAGTGGTCGTTGTCCAGGAGGACGCGGGCCGCGCGGATGTCCAGCCGGTCTGTCGGGTCACCCCCAGAGAGCGTCTGGGCACCTGGGATTTGTCGGCGGGAACCCCTCCCCAGGCCGGCGGAGCCTGAATAGCTTAGAAGTGACGAGACCACGGCTGCCTCCTCCTACGCGAGTCTCTGGGGAGCCCGGGACTGGCTTTCTTTTGCTTAAGAAGATTCAGTTTCTACAGGAGCGGGGGCCCTGCAGCGGTGGGAGCTGAGGGCAGCCCTCCCGGCCGGGATTTCACCCACACGGAACCCCCTTCTCTCAATCAGGCCCGGGGCCTCTCGGGAAGCCCGAGACCGCGGGGACACCGGCTCAGTCCGCGGCTGACCTACGTCGGCGAAGGGGAGAGCAGGACGCTCAGTGGGGCGCTGGGGTGGTGGGTGCGTGGCTGGGCCCCCGG